TGGACCAAGAATTATGGACTGTCTCCAAATGAGTCACAGTATTAGATTATCTTAATGAACAAATTAAATGTATCTAATTATTTTAGACACTAGTGAATTCAGCTTCTAATGATACAGTGGGTTTCTTTTATTGACTATGTGAAATCAAGTAGAATTTATTCTAGATAGGTTTCAAAACAACATTTATAAGTATTTTTGCTGTATTTTAATCCATTCTAATCTGCAGAGACAGAGGAAACTAGAGGTTTTTAAAAATGCAGCTCCTTAATGGTTTTCTTATAACTAACATTTTTTTTTCCTGTGTGAAATTTGCTTTTCTTTTTCAACAAATCCAGGTCTTGGATGTTCAGGAAACTATAGATCGTCAACAGGGTAAAGAGTATGAACATGACCTTAGTGAGACAGAAAAAGCTATAGTCAGAGAAATGTGCAATGTAAGTTTGATGTGCTTTATTTTATATTCTGTGTTGAAAGCCTCATCATAGCTTAGTTGCAACTTTAAGACCTCCCTTTGAAAGTGCTGACCAAATGCCTTTTCTATATGAAAATAAAACAAAGGCCCTTGTTCTCTGTCTTCGGTATATTTTTATTGCAGGTTTATTAACCCACTAATCATATTACAGAATATTAACATCAGAGGGATGGGGAGGTAACTCAGTCTAATAGTGCTTGCCTAGCATATGTGAGGTCCTGGATTCAATTGCTAGGACCATAAAAAGAAAAATCAGATTAAAATAAGTCAGTTGTATTCCAGAATGATCAATGAGTTTCTCTAATATATTATTAAAAATATTGCTAATTTTGATAAAATAAATGGGTTTTTGTCTCTTACTTGTAAGGCATTATTTAAAAATCAGTGTTTAAAAACCTATGATAAAAAATACAGACTTTTAAGATTTATTTGTCATTATTCTTAGACAATATCACTGCTTTCCTAGGTTACATTTGCTTAGTTCTTCAAACATGGTTTGTGTGCTTCATGTGATGGCAACAATTCTTTTGACTTTTTCTTGGTTAACATAACTCGGAGAGTAGCTGAGTTGAGATAGGAATCTAAGGGGTAGTCAGATGAGTGAAAGTCTATTCATGTAGTAGAGAGAGGAACAAAATTTTAAAAATTTTATTATTTTTATTATATATATCTAATATAATTATTAATGTGGCTTGAATTTTCACTAAATTTTGATTTTGAGTAATGTGCATGGGAGAAGTTATTTAAGCAAGAATACAGTTTGTGAAACTCTAAAGAGCCAAGCGGAATATTATAGAGGAAACTATTTGTTAACTGCAAGAAATCAGGCTTAAGCCCTGGGCATATTAAGCACTGGTTTTAATTGGCCTTGTAATCTACTTTTATCCTCATATGCTTTTCTCCATTAAGCTAGAAAATGTGCTTTTAGAAATACCCTTTAGGTTTAGGGCTGTTAGGACCAGGTATTCTCAAACCCTCTTTCACCTCCTCAAGATGTTTCTAGAATCCAGTAAATGTAACCTGAGTTCATCAGCATTTTATGCGTGCGGTGGTGGGCTGGGCTCGGCTTCCTGCTTACCTGTGTTGTGGCTGCTTTTTCTTTTGCAACCCTTGCCAAGTTGTTTTCTCTTGTGTACATCTGTTGTTGTCTGTTTTTGAAAGGTCACTAGTTCCAGATGTCACAATTTTCTAGTTACACCACTTTTCACCTTTTGTAGCTGTTTCACTTGTGCTTAAAATTTTCTTTTCTTTTTTTTTAATTTTAAAAATAGAAGGAGGAAAACATTAACAAACAGACAACCATTTACAAAATAGCAAAAGAACAGTACAGACAATACAGAGTTACAAATAAAGTGGTAGGGACTTGTTGTGTTACACATTGATATCTTCAAAGTGGTTTCCCATGAAAACAAATAGAGGCATGCAATATTGGTCAATCAAGTACTCATTAACAGTTTCTTTCAGCAAAGAAAAAATTTTCAATTTGAATAGTTCCCTTAGATAAATTCAAAACTTTGAGCCACATACTGAAAGTACAATTTGTGAAACTTCGCAATGAGAAGTAAAATTCAAATAACACAAAGTGTAGAACTAGGAGGGATCATAGAGCTTATCCTCCAATGGTCTCCAAAGAGGAGTGTGTCAAGCTCCTTTATAATCTAATGTGTGCTTTTTAACATCTTATAACAAGAGATTTGGATATGAACCCCAGTATAACAATCCAACACTCACATTTTACATTTTGAGACATGAAGATCCAGAAATTAAGCTATTTGTTCAACCTGTTTTTTAATGAACAGTGAAGTCAAGAGTAAACCTAGACCTTTGATGACAAGATCTTTTAAGTTTGTCAACTGTAATAAATCTGGGGACTTACAAATTCTTGCCTAAAGAATGAAAATACCCTGTCTTACAGATGCAGCTCCATGTCTCCATTGCATTAAATGTCAGGATTTCTGTAAGGAAATGCCAGAATTGGGCCTTACCCTCTATTTTTGCTGTCCCTCCTCCTTCCTTCTTCATGAAAGAACTCAGTGCTCACAAAATTCATTTCTGTAGTTTCAGAAGAAACCCACTACTGCATTGAATGTTGATTAGCTTTTTGATGATATTTTGTGTGCCTGTATTTCAAAAATGTTTGAAAAGGCACTATGTGGTGTTGGTGTTTTTTTTTTTGTGTGCCTGTATTTCAAAAATGTTTGAAAAGGCACTATGTGGTGTTGGTGTTTTTTTTTACTATACAATATACTTTGAGAAAACCAAAAATCTTATCCTCCTGTTTACTTTTAAAAGTTCCCTAAAGTATTTTAGGTGCACTTTTGTTCTTGATTTCTAGAATTTGAGAAAGAAAAAATATACACCAACTTATATCTGATTCTTAGAACTTGTATTTGAAAATAAATTAAAGCCAAAGGAAAGAAGTATTGATTTAAAATAATATTGGTCTCACCATTATAAGTTTTATAACCATCAGAAGCACTCAATGAATGTCACAGAATAAAGAGAGATGCAAATTGCAAGACATTTCACAAATAAGTAATTTCTTAGAAACTAGTGAAGATTATGAAGCTATCATTCCTATTGGAGGAACTGTATGTTTCTATAATAGTGTCACAGAATCATAACACTTTCTCATGATGTAAGATCAGTTATAAGGCTCAGATAGAATTTTGGGTAATGGAAGTTTTTCCATACTTTTTGGTATTTCTAATGCAGAGAAGTTATTGACGTCTGTGCAGTGAAAAGATTAGTCTTCATAATACTGTCATGTTGGGTAGTAAACATTCAGTCAGATAATCTCTTCCAGAGATAAATATACTTCCCTTTAAAAATTAATAACTCTATCTTGCACTTTTATTTTGTGATTGTCTGCTTAGCTCCTATAACATTTCCTGGCAATGGTTGAAATACTTAGTGGTCATTTCACTCACAATCTCAAACACATCACTACTATGTTTTCTAGTTACTCAGTCATTACTCGTGTGTTCACCTTGGATAAGCGGTTTATTTTGGATTCCGCCTCTGACAGTTTTCCTTCGCTACCTTATAGTACCTAGGTCAAGGCCCATTGTGTTCCACATTTGAATAACTGAAGAGAGGAGTTGCATTTTTGAGTTGTAACCAGCCACTGTTTTTGGGTCTCTGATCCATCTGAGGCCTTCAAGTCTATCCTTTGTCTCCAAACGAGACATTCAGACTTTCTGGATAGACACAAATACACTTAGGCCCGGGAAAGGAAACTGTCATAGCAATCCCAACTCCTTGACTCAGTGCCTGTATCTCTTCAGTCAGTTTATTAAAAGACTTTCCTAACTTGATTGTGTTTAACTTGAGCTGTCCATTGCTATGTAACTTTCCCCCAAATATTTAAGGACAATAATTAGAACTTTCCTTGAATAAAAGAGGACATTTCTGCCGTGTGGCGGTGTCTGCTGACAAAAAGCTACTAATAACTCTTTTGGCTTATAAATGAAAATGGACCAGAGTCTTACATTCTTATGTATTACTATGAATGGTGTTGGGTTACCCTGGAGTTTCCATCTCTATTTAAAAGGAAAAGAAAAATTTTAAAGCATGAAATCTGAATGATTAATGAACAATATGGTTTTGTGTTCACATTAGAGCATTGTAATTGGGGATCATCTAATATAGTCCTCCCAGTGAAACGATGTGGGAAGGTTATGGCTGTTCTCATGCGTGTACTTATTCCAGTCATTGTTAGTATACTAGTATATCATTTGTGAGTTCCAAGTTTTTGTTTTATACTTAAATTATTCTTGATCTCACCTTTTGCTCACATCCCTCTGAGGTATTCCAGTTTCAACAGGTTATAATTGTATCTCTTTCAAAGACTCTGAAATTTATTTTTACATTTTCCCCTAAATTCTGATGCTTTCTTTTATAAATCTGAGAAAATTGTTTAGTAGGCAAGACTGGTGACCCCTGAGGGCCTCCCTCTGCAGAGACACCTTGGGATATTTATTAGCAGAGTTAAGACTATCAGGTCATTACTTATGTAGCTAAAGACCAAAGACCTTTTCATTTTCCTAGGTGAATTAGACATTTCAGGTATGATGTAGAAACCAGAATATTTTCGCTAAAGAGTTCTTGATTCTGTCTACACATTAGAATCACTTGGGGAGCTTTTTAAAAAATACAACTGTCCATTTCAATAAAACCAGAATTTCTAAGGTAGAAAGTTACTGTTTGTGAATCCAAGTGCTTACTATGCACCAGATTTGAGGACCTAGAGTAACTAGAGTAACTAGAGTAAGATGGCACAGTACTCTTTAATTTTGACCCTGGTTGCTGCGAAGGGGTAGTGGTCCCCCCTGCAGAGTGGCTCTTTTGATTCAGAAGCTTGTCATCCTGTGTATTTTGTGTCTGAATTCATCCATGTGGATATTTTGTCTCCTGTCTCTGCATCTGTCTGTGCCCCTGTCATAGTTTCCCCTTAAAACCCACATATCTTGTTCTGAGAAGAGTTCAAGTATGACTGCTTACTCCTTACCTTTTTCTTATTTAAAAGGTTGTGTGGAGGAAACTTGGAGATGCTGCCGGTTCCTGTCCTGGGATTAGGCAACATCTATCAGGAAACCAGTACAAAGGACCAATGTGAGAAGCATTCTCTTTCAAAGTTGAGACCCCCACTGCCAGAGAGAAAGAAAAGGAAAAAAGAAGAAGACAAAAGAGTGTGTTTCCGCAGACCTGGACTCGTGGAAAAACATGGATTGTACATTACACATATCTCCCCTCTAAAACCTTCTAGACATCAAGTTGATACTCCTGTGTCTCACTTCAGTGTCCAAAACAGTTAATCTCAAACAAGGTAGCACTGAATAGTCACCATTTGGTATCGATGTTTTCATTAGAACTAAAGTGTTTTAAACTTCCCAGATCTAAGATTATAATTGGGAACCTGCATGGTTGGAAGTATCCATTAGCGATTCAGTGGTTTTGATAGAGTTGACTTGTTCCATGTAGTGGTGGAAACTTTTTACCATGTAGTATTGAAGATATGAAGAGGTGATTTCCAGCTGCACAGGGTTGAGAGTTGAGAAATTGCCTCTTATACTTCATTTAAGAATATATTAGTTCCTGGTTCATAATTAATTTGAGTATAAGAGATACAGTTTCTGGGCTTCTGTTTTGACTTTTGAGGTGCTAAAAATACCACATAAATTGTATTACCAGCTAGAAGGGTAGCAAGACTCTGTACAGCGCTTATCAGAGAGTATCATTTATTTCAGTTGATCAAAATAAGTATATCTTTAATCTTGATGAGTTGCTCGTAGAGGAACATTTGGGGACATATCAACCTCCATATTCATTCAGTGTATCAATTTCATCTAAAAAACAAGCAAATATAATTTTTCTAAGTGTTTAGAGCTGTGAGATGTTAATTTCTACAATTTAGTTTCTAGACATGCTGTATATTTAATAAACTTTATGTAAACTTTAAAATATTGCACTGCATTTATGAAAAGCTTTCTTTGCCTACTGCACCTATTTAACGTTTTATGAGACTAACGCATGTCCTTCATTGCTGAGATTAAAAGCTCTTGTTCAGATTGCTTGAGGTTTGAAAAAGAGGTGTGCTAGCTTTGCTTAGTTTTTTCCTTATTTTTGGTATATCCATGTAATACTAGAACGTGTGTATTGGAAATGCCATGATAGGTATTTTGTGTTTATCTACTACAATGGTAGTTTCTTGTATGAATGTGCAAGAAGCCTGTGACAGAATGCTACGTTTTTACTGTAGTTTAAGATTTTAAAAGTAGGGACGCAACAATTCTGTTTTCTGATGTCTTCTCAATTACTGAGAGTTGATTCACAGAAAATACACCTTCTTGTTTTTTTTTTTTAAATGGGCTCATTACACAGCATATCAGTTGTCACTGGTGGGAGACTATGAAAGAATTTTGTTTTGCCTTTTAAAAATGTAACTGTGATGAAAACCCAGCCCTCGATTTTCAGAAAATATTTATAAATTAAGTTACTGTAAGATTATCTCTAATTATACTGACTGGGTTACAGTTTAAGCCTCTGTTTCTTTTCAAATGTTATATTTTTAAATGTTATTACTCTGTAAAAGAAAATTGCTCGCTGTCTTTACACCTTTTCTCATAGGAGAGCTTTCGTTCTTAAGTTGTATTCCTACACTCGATGTTTAAAACAAGTTCTTGTACCTGCAGCAGAGTCTGCAGAAGCTAATTCTAGGGACACTGGTCTTGGACAAAATACTTGTGTAAATTTTGATACTGTATTAAAACTATTTTTTTAAAGTTCCACATAAAATTGAGTATTAAGTATATGTGTTCATCTTAGCAATGGTAATAAATTATTTAATCTCACAGTGTGTCGTCTTCCAAAGTGGTTTTTCTTAATTGAGTACATTTCTTATAAGTCACTATGCTCCTGTGATGGTGCTAATAATAATACAGATAATTCATCATCTTAAACATAAAACAAAGCCATGTTTTAAATATGCCAACAAAGATAGATTTGATAATCAGATTTCTCAATTTGCACTGTTGTCTATTATAATAAAGTTAAAATTTTAGGCTGATACTTAGCGATACTCAAAAATTTCTAAAAATTGGCTTCTGTTGTACAATATTCTCATTCTTTTAATTCATATAGCTTGAAATTAAATGTAATTCAGTTGTCCAGTTTAACCATTAGTCATTAGAAAGGAGTACACTGGAAGAAAAACTCTAAGGAAATGGAAAACTTGGCTACTTGGAAAATTTAAAGCTATATTTAAGGAGCTTGGCCATTATTGGGCAAAGGTGTAAGATACACATATGACCAAGACATAAAGAGGAAAACACACATGCGTGTCCACACACTCCTCAGAGATCACAGATGCTGTTTGGAAATCACTGCTAAGATGGTGGACCACTTCTCACGCTTAGCACCATTCCCAACATTGAATGACACAGTTTATAGATCAAAGTGAGCACCCGGTTCTCTTGTGTGACCATGTAATAAACTCATGACCTTATCTTTCTGAGGACAAAGCTTAATTTACATATCTTGAAGTATTTTTACCAGCCTTGAAGCTGATAGACTGACAATCACAACGTAGCTTTTAATGAGTGCCTTTCAGGCCTAGCACATGCTTACAGCATTGTAGAAAATGCAGATCATTTTATGTGACATTCAGTAAAATACTGAGTCTAATATGGATGATTTTTCCTGAGTTTGGTGAGCACTTAATGAATGCCCACCAGTTCCTGCAGAGTAAACACAGCTTTGGTTCCTGACTTATAGGGCTGACTCTTCAAGACACTCATGGAAAATTAGTGTCTCAGACACCAGCAGGAGCTTCCTTGTTGCTGAGTTCTAGATAGGATTGCCTCAAACATGCATCTTCTTTATCTGAGGAAGCAGTAAGCTTCCTAACGATTTCCACTGGTTCCCAAAGTCTGTCAGCTTTGTGCTGAGCTTTCTGCTGTCCTGTTCTCCTTCCACTTCAGTTGTAAATTGATTTCTCCATTAGAAACCTCGGCATCCATTCCTGGAAGGGATCTGACTACTTCAAGCAACGTTATAAAGGTTGGGTCCTGAGAAATTCATATCTCATAAAGAATCCTGGCTTCGGAAGAATAAAACTTTCCCCACCATTACACAAAGACAACATATTAGGCAGAAACATGCAGTCGTCAGTATTTGACCATTTGGGGGCTGTAAAAACTACATTTTCTATGGTTCAGCCTCATGGGGTCAAGAGATTTTTTTTGAGGTGGGAGTTTTTGAGTAGAGGATAGAAGTTAGAGCATCATCAGCTTAGCTGGAGCTGTGTTAGAGCAGGCTAACTTCAGAGCAGCATTGACTTAAAACGCGTTTGACTTTGGTTAGGCAGGCTTTGGACCTACACGTTCTGCATTTGTCTCTAATTAAGTCTGTGAGTTTGTACTTTACTGAGCTTCAGTTTCCTCATATGGGGAAGGCAAATAGTATCTATATTGCTGAGTTCTAAGGTTCTTATTCCCATCTTAATTCCTTGGGCCTTGATAGTACAAGTCTACCAAAACATAGGAGCTTAAATTCATGAGCTGTGGCTACATGTATCACTAGGTTAAGAGAAAAAAATCAATGCTGAAAGGCCTATGTACTACTACATAAAGAAATTCTACCTGCACAGTTGCATACTATCTTCTGTTCCTTATATATCACCCCGTGTGCATTAGGCTATGTCATGACTCATTGAGGATGATGATTATCTAGACAGACATTGATATGATTCTTGTTTACTGCATTTAAAACATTTACCACTGCTATTTTTAATTCTGTATTTTTCATACAACTGAGAAAACAGACTAAAGACTTCCATTTTAAAGTGGTGGAATGAATACCTGAGACAGTATCTTCTTGCCTTGAACCCTAGCAGTTATTTAAAAGATATTTTAATAAATAAATCCATGGCCCCACTGGGCCATAACACGTAATCATTGGGTCAGTGATGATGGCAATTTCTTGAAAGAAGGGAGACAAATACAACTGAGTGAAGAATCAATCCGTAATTCAAAGTACATAATGTAGGGCATTGTAGAATAAGACCACTGAAAGAGTGTTCCAAGCAGGAAAGAATTTTGCTTTAACTACTTTTCAGAGAACAGCAGAAATAGTTTCTCCCAGGCTAGAGTGGAAAGTAAGGTGTTTGAAGTGGATAAAGAGAGCACAGTATTCAGAGTTGGTAATACCCATTGGAGACAGAAGTTTCTAAACCCAGATCATTAGCTACTGGCACAACCTGACTATAAGTTTACCCATTCTTTACCCATTCTTGTGCCCTGTATGGTAGTCAGGCTTCTGTTACTGAGAAGACCAGGTGGGAACTCCACAGTTCTTGGTGGTGCCAGACCAAAGTGGCAGGCTGAGGAGTTCTTGAGCAACTCCGTGGCTCTCACTGGATCACCCTGCTCCCGGATCTAGAGTAACCTTGCCTGGCTCCATGTCCTCCTTCCACTTACCCCCCTGTCAGACACTAGAGTTAAAGAATATAGTAGAGAAAATGCTCAACTGTGGCCTTGTCTTCTAGTGTGCACAGGTAAAGAGGGTGTAAGAAGAATTTGGCCTGCCTTCAGCCTGCACAGGTATTGTCACTGAAGCTGCAAAGCACAACGCTGTGGCTCTTGCTGCCATCTCATTTACATCCATCCTGCTGTCCCACTCCTGCACCCGGTCCGGGCATGAACAACCATCTGGACTGAACACAAATGGCCCAGGGAGGTTGCACTGTTTTCTGCCACTGCCTCTCCCAATGTCTGGATCCTCAGCCATCACATGTTATAGTACATTTATAAACAAAAGTACAAGAGAAAGACTTAAATTCTGTAAGACAGATGTGTCAAGTCACATTTAAGGGCAGCCCAATGTGATGAAGAGTAGAATTCTCAGAAGAAACCCTATCGGAAAGGAGGGAATGAAATGAAGTATTCCAAGCCCTAAAAGTAAACTGCCAGTCAAGATTGCTATATCCAGCAAGGATTTCCTTCAGAAATGAAGGTAAAAGACTTTTAAAATAAGCAAAAAACTGATGGGATGCATGGCCTTCAGACCAGGCTTATGAAAGATATGTAAGTGAGTCCTACAACCAGAAGTGAAAGAAAGATTACCACTTTGAAACCACGTGACAGTAAAATGCCGGAAGAGAAGATATACAAAAAGAAACAGAACAGTATCAAACATTGTCAATATGATAAACCCTCAACAAAGATGAAGAAGACAGGGAAAAAGGAAGAAAAAGTATTAAAAACTAGAAACAAGGAACAAATGATAGGAGTTAAGTCCTTATTAGTAATAATCTTAAGGGGAAGCAAAGAAGATTCTTCATTTAAAAGATACAGGTTGTGTCAATGGAGAAAACCCCAAACTGAAAAATATACTGCCTATAACTCACCTTATCTATAAAGACTATTCAGATTGAAGGTGTAAAGTTTGGAAATTCCAAACAAATGGAAATCTAGGGTAAGCAGGAACAGACATATCTGACAAAATAAAATTTAAAGCAAAAATTGTAAGAAGAGACAAAAATGTCACTATATATTGATTCAGATATCAATTGAACAAGAAGACATAATTATTGTATGCACCTAATGTTAGACATTCCTGAAATATACACTATAAGGCATACAGCAAGAGATAGGCTCCAATATAATAATAGTGGGTGTTATGGCTTGTGTTTAGATGTCACCTCAAAGCCTCATGCAGTCATAGATGGAGATTTCTCAGAAGTGGCTGGATCTAGAGTTTGTGATTGATTAATGGTACAATGCTGGGATTAAGGGTGTGTGATCACTAAATCAGTCCACTGATTGCCTTAGCATTGTCCTAAATGTGCTAGCCTAGATGGAGTGCGAAAAAGGCAGAAAGATACTGTTAAGGTCCCTTGTTGCTTTGCTACCCTCTGCGTGCTATGAACTGTTCTCTGCAAAGCCACCCTGCCATAGAGCCAGCTGATTATGGATGGAAACCTCTACAGACTGTGAGCTACACAAACCTTTCCCCCTTTAACTTTGGGTGTTGGATATTTTGTCTCAGCAATGATAGAACAGTGACTAAGACAGTGGGAGATTTCAATATACTGCATTGTCATCATTGGATAGATCATCTGTATAAAAAACCAACAAAGAAATATCAGATTTAAACTATATCATGGACAAATCAACTTAGACGGTATAAACCATTTCATATGACAGCTGCAGAATACCCATTGTTTTAGTAACACATAGAACTTGAATAGAGTGCATATATTATATATATATATATATATATATATATATATATGTTGGGCCATCAGACTTAACAAATTTAAAAAATTGAAATAATATCCTATACTTTGTTCACAGTGGAACAAAACTAAAAGACAACAAGAAGAAATTTTACAAATTATACAAATATGTAGACAACAATATACTTTTGAATGAACACTGGGTCAATGAAGGAGTCATAATAAAAATTAAAAATTTCTTGAATGAAATAGAAACACAAATACTAAAACTTGGAGCATACAGTCAAAGCAGTATAAATAAAGGTTTATAGTAATGAGTATCTACACTCCTCAACTGGAGAGATTTCAAGTAACAATCTAATGATGCATGACAAGGACTTAGGAAATTAAGAATAAAGCAAAATCAAAATTAGTAGAAGGAAAGAAATGAAGATCAGAGCAAAAACGATCAATACACTGGCTGTATAGTAGAAAACGCATAGCTGAAGAGCAAGTTAATGATCTTGACGTGAAGAAATTTTGTCAGAACACAGCCAAAAGTTTGAAAGTCTGAAAATGAAGGAAAATGTACTTTCTGTCTCAAAGTTTCTACAATGCTTTCTCTCACTCTCTACCTGCTT